GACACTTAGTTTCTGGCTAAGTGGTGGTTGGGTAACCTGGAAAGACACTTAGACAGGAACAAAGTGAGAGGATCAGATAGTTCCTGGCTAAGTGGCATGGTTACTTGTAAAGCCACTAAGTCTTAGCCAGGGAGCCACTTAGGCAGGAACTATAGCCACTTCAACAGAGATAGACTAAGAAAGTCACTTAGCTTCTGGCTAAGTGGCTTGATAACCTGGAAAGCCACTTAGCAAGGAAAACAAAGTTCAGCTGACTAAGAGAGCGACCGCGTCCCTGGCTACATTGCACTGTTACCTGGAAAGCCACTTAGACAAGGACTATGCACTTAGCCAAGAATAAACAAAGTTAGTCGCTTAGTTCCCCGCTAACCTGGAATAGGCAGACACTTAGGCATGATCCAGGCACTTACCCTTGAATGCAAGTTACCCAGGAATTAGCTACTTAGCCACGAAACTGGCGACACAGACAGGAGCAAGCTATAAGACAGATACTTAGCTAACCAGCCGCTTAGCTGGGAATAAGCAGCCACTTAGCCAAGGACTAGCAACTTGCCCAGGAGCTAGCTGCTTAGCCACGAAACTGGCCGCATAGCCAGGAGCAAGCTATAGGACAGACACTTAGCTAAGTGAAGAGAGGGCTACGTAGACAGGAGCAAGCTCGGACAAAGAAGAAGAAATTAACTTCGCTAAGCGAACTGGGGGCTTTGTAATTGGGAATGCCACTTAGCCAGGCACAAACCAAGACTAGGAAAATCACTTAGCTAAGTCAAGAGAGGCCTTTGCTTAGAGACAATACTTGCTTGCCAATGCTTGCTTGCCAATGCTTGGCACTTTGTGCTAAATGGATCGTTACCTACTAAGTACTGTACTAAGTACTGTTCTAAGTACTGTACTTGGCACACTTTGTGCTAAGTGGATAGTTACCTACTAAGTACTGTAGTAAGTACTGTACTAAGTACTGTACTAAGTACTGTACTAACTTCTAAGTACTGTACTAAGTACTGAACCGAGTACTGTACTAAGTACTGAACCGAGTACTGTACTAAGTAACTGTCCGAACACTTTGTGCTAAATGCATAGCTACCTACTAAGTGCTGTACTAAGTACTGTACTTGGCACTTTGTAATAAGTGGATAGTTACCTACTAAGTACTGTAGTAAGTACTGTACTAAGCACTTTGTGCTAAGTGGATAGTTACCTATTAAGTACTGTACCAAGTACTGTACTAAGTACTGTACTAAGTAACTGTACTAAGTAACTGTACTAAGCACTGTGCTAAGTCCTGTACTAAGT